CTCTCTCTCTCTCTCTCTCTCTCTCTCTCTCTCTCTCTCTCTCTCTCTCTCACACACACACACACACACACACACACACACACACACACACACACAACAACAACAACAACAACAACAACAACAACACCAACAATAACAAAAACAACGACGACAACAACAACAACAATAACAGCATAAACAATGACAATAAGAATAACAATAATAACAGAAAAATCGCTTTTTTTCAGGAGGGGGGGGGGGGCTTGTTAGGCAAACAAAAACTTTTACTGGATTGCTGTCTATCTACTTAAGTCCGTGTCTATGGGTTCAGGACTATCGTATCAGTACTAGACGGTAGCCAGCTTTCTGTCCATATAAATATATATAATATATATAATATATATATATATAATATATAATATATATATATATATATATATATATATATAAAGTTTTCTGTTTATTACTTTGTAAGGCGTCGATAGAAAGAATGAGAAAGAGAGAAAGGCAGAGGGTGAACAAGAAGCCCATTACACACGGACAGGGGGCAGGCAAAAGGCTGGCTGAGAGCTGGACGGTGGCGCAGAAAAGATTGGCTTGGAGAGCCATGGCATGTCTCCCCCGGCCCTGGGTCCATAACAAACAGCACGATTAGGAAATCTTTTAGTCTATTAAAATCAAAGAGCTCAATCATAAGTCCAGTCCGGCAGAATTGGGCACTAGACCTACTTGCAACACTGAACGTGTAAGAGGGATGTTTAACATCGTCACCAAGAGAGTGAGTTCGATTCCTCAAAAGCGGTAGCTAGATGAAAAAGAAGCTGACCAGGACATGTCATTATTATTTTTTTAATGTTTTGCTCCGAAATTTATTAATTAATTAATTAATTAATTAATTAATCAATCATAATCAAATATAAAAGATAATGATACATGAGGGATAAAGACGGACGATAGATGTTTGATAAGACAGAAGAAAGAAGAAGCAAACCACACCAGAGCGCATGCCTATCATCCACTAGCACGGTGGAACATTGGTTTCGTTGTATGAGAGCTCCCACGATTGAGCAACTCTAATATTACTAATAATATATTAATAAACAGACAGTAAATCAGGCTGGTAACGTGTGCTTCTGTCGAACAGTGCTGATGAGTTTGATATATAATGGTTTTGTGAAAGCGTGTCAGCAAAATAAATTACGAATCTGGGGCAGGCCTCAATTGACACGTATCTGCTTGTAAGCGTCCATCTCTCTCTCTCTCCCTCTCTCTCTCTCTCTCTCTCTCTCTCTCTCTCTCTCTCTCTCTCTCTCTCTCTCTCTCTCTCTCTCTCTCAATCTCTCTCTTTCTCTCTCTCTCACTCTCTCTTTCTCTCTCACACCCTCTCGCTTTATCTATCTATCTATCTATCTATCTATCTATCTATCTATCTATCTATCTATCTATCTATCTATCTATCTATCTATCTATCTATCTATCTATCTATCTATCTCTCTGTCTGTCTGTCTATGTCTTTCTTTCTTTCTCTCTCTCTCTCTCTCTCTCTCTCTCTCTCTCTCTCTCTCTCTTACACACACACACACACACACACACACACACACACACACACACACACACACACACACACACACACACACACACACACTCACATGTTCGGGCACACATCCCCTACTTTATCCGACTTCAACCCAACGATCCCCTTTCTAAACAATTAATTTTTTATTTTGTTCGACATCACGAGCGAAACCATTTTCCCTCCTTTTTTCTATTCATTGCACTTACACTCGTGCCCCATAGATTCTCGACTTCTGTTGTGTATAGCGCCACATTGTGAACTGCACACAGGACTCACAGGTACACTATATTTATGTATAATATTTGATGAGACAAAAGTATAAAGAAGAAAACCACACCGGAGAGCTGGCTAACCACCCACCAGCATGGTGAAGGATTCAGTTTGTTAAATTGTATACGAGCTCCCCTATTAACCGTCTATAATAATAAATAGACAGTAAATTAGAATAAGGCTGGTGTGCTTCTGTCTAACCAAAAGTCTCCTGTCAAACAGTGCTGGTGAGTTTGATGTGATGGGTTTTGTGTTAGCGTGTCAGCAAATTACGAATTTGGGGCAGGCCTCAATTGACACGCATAGATCTATAAGCTTCTCTCTCTCTCTCTCTCTCTCTCTCTCTCTCTCTCTCTCTCTCTCTCTCT